CAATTTAGTTTTAGAGTCCTGGCAGGTTTGAGGTTGTCAAACTCTCTCCATTTTCAGAACGATGCGTTGATAAATGTCTAAATGTTTATAGTTTTATAACATAGACCCGCTATAAACCTCTGACCTCATTGCTATTTGTCAGCTAACTAATTTCTGTACCAAATCTCTAAAGGCCTTCACAGAACAGCTGTATTGATATGAAATCTCACACACAGGCAGACTACATTGACACCTAAAGGTAATTAGTTACACTGTTTTTTAAATATGTTTGCGTCAATTTTCTAATGTTTATTGTTTAAATGCTTTGAAAACGGCAGCCGAATAAAACGCCCCCAGGATTGTGGTGGCAACACAAAGAACGTAAAGTGTTGTGTTTGCACACTGATGGGTTGGAGAAAAGATGTTTGCTTTAGCTAAAAGTTCTCCAACCTTCACGCACTAACCTGCTAACCTGCGACACAAATCATCATCTTTCAGCCCCACGTGAAACAAAGCGACAAGTTGTTCCCACACGGAACGACGCACGAGTGCAAACATGCTAACAGAGTACAACAGCAATTTTATCGGCGCACCAGAAGAAAAGAGACGGAGGAAAGATTCAAGAAATGCAGAAAGCGGAGGGAGAAAGGCGAGGAGGGAAACATCAAACGGAGATAGTAGCGGGATAGCAGAGAAGCAAATCCACGCTCAGAGATGTACGCATATTGTCATTTTTTTCTCTTTCTCTAGACAGACAAAAGAAGGAAGAATCATAGCAAAGAAAAAAAAAACTGAATCACTGAGTTATAGATGCATTAAAAATGAGATTGGAACAAAGCGACTGATGAGGTGTTGTGCTTTCTTTGTCAATTTTCATCCCAGTCAGGCTGCAGAGGAATCATTTGTGTCTTCTCTGATTAGTCAAAAAAGAAAAAGAAAAAATCTGCAGGAGAGACTCTGCTTTAGTTTTTGCATTTTGCATGAGTCAAGACTGAATGAAGGTTTACTTACGCACTCTACCTCCTGTTTGGCAACTTTACCTTCAATAAATTTAACAAAAGCTGCAAGAAAGTAAAGCCTAATAGTATAATTATTTTGACCACAGACAAAAGATGATTACTAATCCCTCAAACGTCAAGTCTCAGAGTGGAAAATTGAAAATGGAAACAAACAAATGTTAAAATCCACTGATAAAACCTGTGAATTATCAAATGTTCTTCTTTGCACCGTACGGTCACTTGAGGACTTGAGCCCTGTCAGCTAACTTTTATCGACTCCAAGATGGGATCTCCATGGTAACAGGCTGGAGGAAGCCTGCAACGGACCGTATCTGGCCTGCATCTGAAGCTCGCAGTGCCTGCCTCTAAACATAATCGAGCACAAACACTCGGGAACACTTGCACCGAAGCACACACCGGAAAAAAAAAAAAAAAAAAAAAAAAGGAGAGAAACTGGAGCACTTTAGTGGGAAAGGGACCAACAGGATGACATTTAAATGGATGGAGGCTTTGGCGGAACAAATGAGTTCATTTCTGCTGTTCTTGTTGCAGTTCAGACCTCCCTCTGGATATAAAATGGTGATCCCGCTGAAATGACAGAGCGACGCCTGTTGAGAATTGTACTCTTCCCTGCTGAATTCCCCATTTCTGCAGGCCCAGGGCAACGAGAGATAAAAGCAACAGGAAAACAGAGAGTTTAGTTATACACAATCAGCCCTGCTGCTCCCAATCAGTCATGATGGTAGCAACACAGCACGAGGGGGAACAGAGGCTCCGCTCCGGCGAATGTAAAAACGCGTGGCACACATAGGTTGTGCTTGCGTGTGTGTGTGTAAGACACAAAAAAGCAGAAGATAAGTGTGCACAACGCTGAAGGTTAAATAGAATGGAATGTAGGAAACCAAGTGTTTGTACTGAAGATGTACATTAACGAGAGCCTCAACATCAATTTCACAAAATCGTCAAGGTGTTTAAACATTTATATCAGATCAAATGAAGATCCTCTGATCAAAAAGGTATTTTTAAAACATATCAATTTATGGCGCACTTGGACAAAGTCCAGCTGATGTAGCACAGGCAGTTAGCACCTATTTCATTCAATCAGAACCTTCTTTAGTAAAGTACAGTAAAAACTGTCAAAAGGACAGCAAGTCAACAAACACGCCAGGATCAATATCTGAAGCATTATAAATGCATTATAAATACATTTAGGGCTAAAGACAAACATTTTGAGAGAAATCAATTTTAGAAAAAACATGCCAGGACGCTGATGTTGTAATACCTGTGCTCTGCCAGAAGGCGGTAGTAGTATTGACATTGACTACATTAAAATTTAGAAGAAGTAGATCTTGAGGATGTCTAAAGCAGAGCTAAGCTAGAGATTCTCCCAAAACCAAAGCTGGACGTGTAAAATGCGATCCAATGTGTAACTCTCATTTTTTAATTTTAAAAATTGAGTTTCTAAAAAAAAAAAAAAAGAAAAAGAATAAAAATTTTTGCAGGTGGATTACAAATGTTCCACATGACAAATCACACATTAATATGTGCAATACTGCAATTGCAAAGGATTGCTTGAATGCTATTTCTTTGTTGATTTTTAGTTGAATATTTAAACTGCCATGTAAGCATATTCTGCCTGCTTGTAAAATATTTGGGTTGAGTTGGGTGGATTTTCCATGCCCTCGATACACAAAAGTACTTTTATTACCTGATGTTGACGCTCATTGAGAGTTGTGGGGACAGTGTGATGTAGAAGAAAAAACGAAAGGAGTCAATAAAACGTGGGCTAAATTTAATCGATATCTTCTTTGCAGTACTGAACAGTGGTGTCACAATGACGTTTTCCTGGTACCGTACAGCTATAATGTGGATGGTGGATGCACATCGAGGAAAAGAAATGTCTAGTTTCATGTGGGGAGAAACTCAATCATTTTTTTTTTATTGCGTTTCCAAGCAGTTAAAATGGGAAATAGGAAATCCAAATCCTATGTTTGCCAACTAGATTCCCACAGAGCATCGTACAGGGAACAACTCCCTTTAGTATGATCTAGTAATATGGTTGTCTGCCTGCATCATCTTTGTGGTGAAATAAAAAACATAAGTTGTCAAATTTCATATCAAATGTCATATCCTTGCTCAGCTGATGTTGTTGACATCTGAGTGTACTGAAAATAAGTCATGATACGTTTCCAAACGTCACAGCGCAGATGCACACCCAAACATGCAACAACAAAGACTAATGTGCAGTTTGAAAATACAAAATATGTAAAAAGCAAACCTTTTGATCCCTTTTAAGGCTGGTTGGGATGTAATTCTACACTTACAATGAACCCAAATTAGATTGTCACCCCACACACAATCCAGCACTTCCTTGTGTCCAAACAACGGATCATTCATGAACAGAGACAAACATAAAACTGGATCAGGAATAGAGAACACATGGATCGCTGTTGTTGCAAAGGCAAAATAGAAAAACAAGATAAATTCTGGGCTGATAGGTCAGTTTTCTCTGTTTAAATCTGCCAAATAAAGCCATTGTTGTTTAGACGGCATTTGTCATTTAATAGTTCATTATTTACCGTGCTTCATTTTCTGCACTCTGTCAGTTTGGCATTGATTGCTGCATCCTGAGAGCATAACAAGACAAGGCATTCCACAGTTATAATGAAAAACTACAGTAAGTCAAAAGTCGAGACGAACGATGAGTCATAAATCAAAGTCTCCGAGCATCTTTCTGCACGTTGATCTCTCACTCGCATACTCAAAGTGTATGTTTTTCTTAAAACCTCCTATTTCTTATGTTCTCTCGTGCAGTCGCTGAAAAACAGCAAGGAGTGTTATTTTATTGAAATTTTATTGACAGAATGTTACATTAGAGATATTTTCTCTAATATTTCTGCACATATCCCCACGTTGAAATTCTGCAAAATGCTTTCTATCAGATGAGTTGAACCGAATCACTAGTGCGTTTGGCATGAATGCTGATTTATCGCCACGCTACAGATGCACGTTTTTAGTAAATGTAAGAGTTTGGAATTGATGTTTTTAATTTTCTACGATGGACTGGTGACCTGTCAGTGTGACCCCACCCCAATAACCCCTGAACTTAGCCCCCAGCGCCGCTGGGACCCTGCAAGAATAAACTAGTATTGGAAATAGGTAGAGGACTGCATGAATGTTTTAATTGCAAACTGCTGATAAAATAGGAATAAATATCGAAAAACAGGCAAACTTTCAATCAGTTTCTTCTGAATTTCTGCCACTCTCTGTTCTTCCCCAGCTGTCAGTTTTTTTGTTTTTGTTTTTTTTTTGCAGTTTGTTGGAATGAAACAGGCTATTCTTGTGTATTTTTATTGAACAGGAACACACAGCTACGGTCAAAATCAGATCAGAAGGAATACTAATAAACAAAACAGCGGTGGGTTTTTCCTCTCCGTAGCCTCGGAGTGAACATGTCTGTCATATTTCCATCCAACCTTCTTCCACTGCCCTCTCCTCACGCGGGAATTTTGGTAATTTCCATAAAACAGAAATTCCCCTCGTAGAAAACAAAGCCATCTGGACGCAGGTGTTCTGTATTAATCCATCATATTATCTCTCAGGGCTTCCCTGTATTTATTCCTCCTCCCCCTCTCTTGTTCCTGTCCTCCCCCTCTTCCCTCCCTCCATCCACACACCCTCATTAAACTTCTATCTCAGTCTCGTTGTCTTCACTTTCTTTAGGCATGCTCCTCTCCTCCTGTGCCCATGTCATCAGCATCTCCCCGCATCCTTTCCGGTTCTTCAACCTCTACTCCAACACCTCACATCCGTAGCCGCTTCATCTCAATTTTTTTTTTTTGTGTGTGTGTGCTTGTCTTTCTTTTTTTAAACTCATTTTCCAAACTTCTTGCTCCACTCCCAATTATTTCCTTCCCCTCCATCATCTACATCTTTTCATTATCATCTTTCTGCTCTTCTTCTGCTGCCACGCAACACAACAAAAAGAGGAAGGCAGCGCTCGCTCGCTGCCTGCATTGTTACCTTTTTCGCACGTAGCTCCGCCGTAGCTGGGCAGGCAGAGGCACACAAAGGAGTTGATCTCGTCGATGCAGGTTCCTCCGTTCTGGCATGGATTAGACTGGCAGTCGTCGATGTCTGGAGGGAAACATTGAAGGGAGAACAGGGGATGGAGTCAAAGTCGTGTTTGCACTCCTTCAACTTTTTCACATTTTGAGACACTACAACCGCATCTTTCATTGGACTTTAATGGGATTTTCTGTGGCAGAGCAACACAAAGCAGAGCACACTTGGAAAGGGGATAGACAGGCATACAGTTAGCTATTTTATTTCTGACAAATAAGAATCTGAAAATCGGTGCTGCATATTTAGCTACCCGACACTGGTCAATGTTTGTATAATCCTCTTTTAATTGCCATCTGTTTAGAGATTTCCAGAGAGTAAAACACATAAACATTCGCCTTTGTAAAACACACAAGTCACCGTCAAGTTAGATAAGGATGTAATGTTGATACGTGACAATGTGTCACGCTGGAGTCTAATTTGGATTCAGGTCTGGGCTTTGACTGGGCCATAACAATACATGCCTAAACTCCTCCACGGGATTTCCACTGCAAGTTTTTTGAGCATATTCATTCAAAGTAGAGGAGGTGAAGACAAAGTGAATGCCAAACTCTCCAGATTGTTGTTTTTTTTTTAAGCTGCCACCATTTTAAACTACTTTGTGGTAGTCCGCCACATAAAACGCCAATAAACCGCAATTATATTTGAGGTTGCGATGTCACAAGATGTGTCGAAAATTAGGACAAATCAACACACTCTTTCACACACAAACATCCCTCTTCAGACAGCAGTTTGCGCAGCTACCTGCCACAGCTCAACGCCAAGTTTTAGTCAGATTAGAGGTGTTCCTGTGAAAGTTATAATTAGGGCAAATTGATTGAATTCATCAGCGAGCTGTTTGGGGATGCAGTGGAGCGCATGAAGCTAATTTGCAATGAGTTTGCAGGACGTGGAGCAGCGCTGCAGTCGAACCCTGAGCAGCAAAAGCGAGGGAGAGCACACACACACACACCGAACACACACGCACAGAAGATTCAATTTGTACCAGTGCACCCATTTCAAATGCTTCACTCATTGGGAACCACAAAACATACATGCAGATCAATTTCAATTAGGCAAACATTCTTTAATTCTAACTTAAGAATTATGTTGCCTCTATAAACAAATTCAACCACATGTTCCACAAAAGCTCATATTCTGCAGAAAAATGCCAACTGTATGTTTTTTTTTTCTTTTCTTCTTCTTTTTGGCTGATCTCGGCCTGAAGGCACAATCATTAAAGCTGCAGCTGGCAACTTAACAATCCTCAACCATCACAAGCTCTGAGAGACTCTCTGAGGCTCTGACAAGAGGTCATGGTGGGAGGCAGAGGAACGTCTGAGGGCTGAGGAAAGATATGAAAATGAGAGGATGCTGAAAAGCGGCGCACAGCCGGGTTAGGAGGCTGAGCTGATGGAAACAAGGGTGGAAAGACGGAGCAGAGGTGATACCATTCTGCGAGGAAGTTGGTGATTTTTGGGGACGGATTACAGCGACTTTGCAGGCGGCAGCGTTTGGGCGGGTCAACCCGTTTGGCGCGAACAGCATGACAGCTTCGTTGCTGTTGCTCCGCTTAGGGCCGGCTGATTTTAAAGGCTGAAGTCGATGCAGACGAAAGATATCGAGCCAGAGGAGATGGAATAAGATGCTCAGTTTAGCCGTGTATGTCTGTCTTAACGTATGATCTGGTGTGAGACAAGAAATGACGACAAAGCAACAAAAAGCAAAATCCATTGTCTACCATGAAAATTAACTTTACGTGCTGCATCAAACTGTCTTAAATGGCAATTCTTCTCCTTTCGTGTTCAAACTGCAGGAATCTGAAACGGTTCCAAACGACGCACCTGTGAAAATCACGTTTCACCTCGAAAATGTGGTCATAACCATTAAACCTTTTCATATTTTGTCAAAATTACAAACACAAACTTCGGTCTACAAAAAATAAATGTGTTTTGATCAGATATATTCAATTGTAGCTCTGTGTGTTGAGAATTATTATCCAGCTGGATGATTAAACTTAGTCGTAATCTTAATTCATATTTAGTCCAAGCCGTTCTTTTTTTTTTGCATGCAAGCCAAAACCAAAACCCAATCACGCAAAAATAAACTAGTTCAAAGAATACCTGTGGGTTTACAGACAGGTTGTGTCTAAATACTGATATGTGTGAATAAAACATGATTAAAAAAGTTAAAAGGGACATTAAAAAAAACAGGAAGGAAAAATCCTTGGGCTCACCTTAACAAATATTTCTACCATTTCTCATTTTGTTGTGTTAATTATCTGTTTTTTTTCAGATGAACAGAGTTAGAGATTGCCTCTACCCGACCGTCCACATCCTCTCTCTCCGGCGGTCTCTTTCCCTTCCAGCGCTCAGATTTATGTCTTCAATTCTCCTGTAAAGTACCTGTGAACTCTGAAGCCAAATAAACCCAGACAACTCCTTCTCATTGCCATATAAAAGTGTTTAACAGATATGAACAATTTCACGCTCGTGAACCCTTGAATTTGTCTGCGATCCTCCATAGGGTTTTTTTTTTTGTTGTTGCTTTCACTAAGCTTGTAATCTATCTCTATTAAACTCCGACTGCATAACATTTTGTATTTTACCGAATTCTGGTGAAAACCCATCTATCCATTTGCTTCAGAATCGGTTCTTTTGTATGGGAGGGTAGGAAAAGTAATTTCAAGTGTGGTTTTCTTTACCTGAAATCTAACAGTCAATCATGTCTGCTGTACTTTCCACCCGTTTCTGAAGAAATGCTTTTACTTTGACTAGTTAGTTGTTTTTGTCTCTGGTTTTAGTGAGTGCCAATTATTCTCTCACTCTCTCTCTTTCTGACCTGATCACCTTTTTACCCTCTCATCTCCCCATAACCTGTGCAAGATGAACTGTGTATAAGGAGTAGATGGATGAAGAATTGCACTAATAAGGAAATGAAATCCAGACTAAAAATATCCCATTTTTCAGATAACCTAAAATACTGCTATTTCTGTTGACATATATCCTACATATTCTGTCATGTTGTGTTTTGGGAGCATATAATGTGCGACAGTTATTCTTTTTCTCACCTTCCTCAAAACACTGGTAACTATTAGCATAGGCTAACTGCTGAGGCTAATGCAGGAGAAATGCAGGGGCTGCGTCCAGGAAGCAGATGCTCTCTGTGAACAGAGCGAATCAGAAATGCTGCGTCACGTTTGTAAATCTGTAGCCACTGACTGTGGAAAAGCTGCTGACCTCTGTCCGCTATGCACCTCATCATCCGCCGACCCCGTTCACCGCTGCTGCACGGCTCAGTTGCTCTTGTTCCCAACCACTCCGCTTCGAACACGAGAGAGCTGCAAATGTTTACAGACCGATTTAGCCACTTAGTTTTCATAAGTGCTCGCGTATGGATGCGCTCACTCATTATCTGCATTTTATTTTATTTTTTCTAAATGTGTGACAGTGAGCTATTTTCTATTTTCGACAGTAAAAACGATCTGCGGCGACTGATGAAAAGAAATGTCAAAATGGGGAACATTTGAAGTATTTTTACTCTTTCTGCAACACAAAAATAACTGCAGCTTCCGCTTCTGCTATCCTTTGACGTCGCGTTTTAATAAATGCTGGTCCTGTGAAGACGGAGTCAACTGTTTTTTTTGTTTGTTTTTTTTCTGAATGCAAAAACTAATCTTTGTCTTATCTAATGTTTATTATGACAGCCATTGATTTATCAAACTGTTTAAAGATATAGCTGTTACAGCTGTTATAGCTGTTTAAAGATTACAAATTGTGAAAGCGTCTTTCAAAATGTCTTAATTGTTCCCTCTTTGGTTATCTAAGATTAAATAATAAAACATGGAGTGGGGAAGAAGGAGAACAGCTGGGCAGACAAAATGAAAATTTAACATTCAAACAAATGAAAAAACCAAAAAAACCAAAAACGATAGCAACAAATACAAAACACCGCATTCCTGCGTATGTTTACCTTCTGTTCTGTGCAGATTTATTATGTAAATATGCGTCTACAAAGGTTGGAGGGTACGAAAAGATCTCATTATGAGTCGCATTCTTCCACAACCGACCTCAGTAGGTGGAAGCCACGGATAAATGAAACCCTGACAGAGCACGAAGGCGCCTTTTTTCCTGTAAGGGACCAAATGCCAGCCGTAGCTACAGATCAAACAGCCGACTGATCAATTACACAGAGAACCTTTGAACCAGTAAATGCCACCCAAAGACTTCACGTCTAACAAAGTTCTACAGAGGTCATGAGGGGATGATATTAATATCAAAGAGGTAGACTTTTTTTTTATTTTGGCAGACACCCAGAGGAAAATGTACACTTATCAGAGCAAACAAGAGCCGCACTCTCGTGCTAAAAGCCTCGGTACGAGATCCAAAGCTAAAAATCGTACTGTATACGCCAGCGCAGCCCTCCGCTTCCCTGAAACTCTGACAAATCGGGTCAGGCTTCCTACGTTCTCCTAATTGCTGGCGTTGCGTAAAAAACAATAAACCGGCATAACGTGCTGTAAAATAACGACTTTGAAATGGAATTTTTTTTTCTTTCTTTTTTGCCACAGGAAGGTTCTGGTCAAAAGGCTTTTTGTGTTTGTCGTCTTTTATAGCGGCGCCCCTGGATGATTGACTCCCCCTTTGGTTTGCTGAGGGGCATTGACATTTTCAAAGCCTTCTACGAAGATGGATACCTTTCTGTTTAGCTGCTGCTCATCCAGACAGCGTGAACCCTCAATGGGCCATGTTGTGCTTTCCCAGAAAGCAGATTTTCTGCGTGACTATGTCTGAGCACACTATAAATGTTGGTTTAGTTGTCCTGGCTGCAAACAACAAGGCCAGCAACAGCAAGAAGTGCTTGTGTAAACATTGCAAAACCTCTTCATTTGTTATCTTATTTATTTGCAGACTAAATATTTGCTACTGATTTACATGTTCATAATTCATTATGGAAGATAGTTTGCATTGCTTCACTGGCATTTTACAACCATCTTTATCAACAGAAACTCCTTTTTTTTGTGAAAATTGCACAAT